TGCAAATTTCATTATTTCAACAAAGCAGTAGGTGGGTGAATTATACCTGAGTAGCACATCCAGCAGGTCTTTTTAATTCATTATCAGCCTTTTCAGTTAGACTTGAAGACAGGTCGTTCTATAACGGCATTTTGAAAATTTCTAGGATATGGAAGTCGTGGTGCAACCTCACTGTATGGCCGTGGTTCTCCTTAATCACACTGCCAGCGGTGGCGCCATCGAACAAATCGACAGACTCCGGCAAGTCATCACTGGTTTTATCAGCCTGAAAAATTTCAGATTTCAAGGATTAATTGGCTCAGAAAATTTACCTTTTCATTAGACTCCTCCGTGACATCTTCAACGCCATCTTCATCAACGTCGCTAGCATCAGACATATCTGAATCAGATCCACTTCCATCAGCCTCCTCCTCTTCATCATCACCATTGTAATCCTCATCCTCTTCGCTATCATCGTCACTACCCAAGGATTTTTTCACAGGTCTGAAATTTTTCAAAAAAATTCTGGGATTTTCTAGATCACTGCGGGAAAGGGATGAGTGGCACACACTTCTTAGGCTTGATGGACTTTTTGGTATCAGCCTCCTCCTCCTCATCCTCTAGTAAAAGATCCTCATTATCTTCCATATACAACTCCCTCCGTTTTGCCATTTCAGCTTTTCTCCTTTTGGCCAACTTTTTCTCAAGATCTTGTTTAAGAGCACGTTGGGTGGCAACTAAAGATGAACTCAAACTTTCAATATATGGCTTTTCAAGAAGAACTCACCGCTGTGAGGAAATTGCTGGTTTTTCGAAGGGCTAGGCTCCCTAGAAGCAAAGAATATGCAGATTTTAAAGTGGTTTCAAAACTTTGGAAAGAACAAACTTATTGATTTTTGGGTCTAGCTTGTCCGTTTTAATAGTGGGAAATTTCTTCTTGAACCAAGCAAGATCCTCAGCTTTATCCTACAAGTAGTTGAACTTAAAAAGTAGAAACAAAGACAGTAAGTAACCTTCATCTTATCTACCTCTTCAGTACAGAGGTCAATCACGCAGTCCTCCTTGACGCTTAACTTAGGAAGTTGTAAATTTGCCAAAGCCAATCGTCTATTCAACCGTCTTGCCTTTCCCTCTTTTCTGATCGTTTCTGGTGATTGAGGTTGAGGAAGTTGGGCACTATTTTCTTGTAAATCATCTAGTGAAAACTGTATTGCTAGCGAGGATCCCGAAGTAGTTGACGCTTGAGATGCTTGAGAATCCACTGCATCATCGAGAATAGTGCCATTATCGACCTCCATTTCTATCCTGAGATATACAATTACAAATTTTTTTCCGCAAAATCGATGACATACGAACAACTAGCTGATTAAATATGGAAAAGATCTATAAGGGCTAAAAGGAAGAGAAAAAAATGGGATCAATTCAACAAAGATAGTTAAACGTAAACAAAACTTTGGAACAACATTTGGTTCTAAGCACAAATATAATTGGGCTTAACGAGAATGAAAACATAGCGGAGAGGACGAGAATGTAAGCTTGAAAAAGAAAGGGAAATCTC